CGCGAAGGGGGGAGGCCTGGCGACGCTGCGCCCTGACGGGCGCTCACCGACGGCTAGGGAGGCCGAGACGGCCAGGGAGGAACAGCCAAAATGCCCCCTCGGCTTATAAGCGGGTCACCAATTTTTCCCAGTTCTTTGTGGGAAAATCGGTCCCTCGGCTTATATTCGGGTCGACCTATACTCGAGTATATACGGTATTTGCATGTTTGAAAGCATGCACCTTGAGATATCATGCAAATAAGGGCATGATGGAGGCAGAGGAGGAGAGGACCCGGGGCTTATGGAGCGAAGGAACTGGATGAGGCTGTCCGCAGGCCCAGAGGAAGAGAGAGAGGCGTTTGGAGTAGTTGGTGGCGGCCTTAGCATGCTCCAGGGGCAAAAAGAAGCAAGGCCTCTTTAAGGAAAAGGTGGAAGAGTCAGGATCCGAAAAAGGAAAGAAGGTGAGGTTGTCATGCAGGAATACAAGCTAATTTGATGGCTAATCCACATAGAGCTCTGTTTCCATCTGTCCTGTTTGCCATTGTTCGCTCCCTAGAGATTAAAATGGTCGATCTGAAACTTGAGCTGGCCACGAACAAGGAATGTATATCGGAGGTGGTGGCCCTTTGAGAGCTGTATGCAACAAAATTTCATTTTGATGTATGCCGATTGGTGTACATTCAAAGTGACAATAAAGTTAATAATAATAATAATAATAATAATAATAATAATAATAATAATAATAATAATAATAATGACGACGACAATAATAATAATAATAATAATAATAATAATAATAATAATAATAATAAAGGCAAATAGGTGGGTGTGGAATGCTGCAAGTACATCAGATGGTTGAAGAAGAAAAAATGGCTTTGGAAGAATATCTGAAGGACAATGATGAAGATGCACTGAAATTAGTATATCAGGAAGGCTTACTGACTACTGGAGAGACCAAACTGGCCTACAAGAAAGACCAAATGAAGAACAGAATAGAGGCATGGGAAAACAAAGCACTGCATGGCCAGTACATTAAAAAAAAATAGCTGGGAAAGCAGATAATAACAAGACCTGGCAATGGCTAAGAGCAGAAAAATTGAAGAAAGAGACCGAGGGACTAATTTTGGCTGCACAAGACCAAGCCTTAAGGACAAATGCATATAAAGTCAAAATTGAGAAGACAGCAACAGACAGTAAGTGCTGCCTATGCAAAGAAGCTGAAGAAACAGTGGACCACCTGGTAAGCTGCTGCAAGAAGATCGCACAGACTGACTACAAGCAGCAGCATGACAAAGTAGCAACAATGGTGCATTGGAAGATCTGCAAGAAATATCATTTGCCTGTAAGCAAAAACTGGTGGGATCATAAAATAGAGAAAGTCATAGAAAATGATAAAATTAAACTGCTCTGGGACTTCAGAATTCAAACAGACAAGCACCTGCAACATAACACCCCGGACTTAACAACTGTCGATAAGAAAGACAAAAAAGTCTGGATAGTGGACGTGGCAGTGCCTGGAGACAGCAGAATAGACGAGAAAGAACTGGAGAAGATAACAAAATACAAAGACCTACATATAGAAATAGAAAGACTGTGGCAAAAGCAAGCAAGGGTAGTACCAATAGTAATAGGCGCCTTGGGTGCAATCCCAAAACAACTGGAGCACCACTTGAACACCATTGGCATTGACAAATTCGCTATTAGTCAATTGCAAAAGGCGGTCTTACTAGGAACTGCTTCCATCCTGCGACGATATCTGTAATACCATCAAACATCCACATCTGCCTATCCCAGGTCCTGGGTAAGGACTCGATAGGTAGACAAAATGCCAAATCCAGTCTGAACATCTGGCTGACTGTGCGATGATCCATAATAATAATAATAATAATATCATCTATTTTGGGCTCCAGTCTTAAGGATACTTTCAATATATGATACTGTCTTTTTTTGAGCATGACCAGTGATCCATTTAAGGAAAGTGCAGAAGACATAAAAGCTGGAATCTATTTTATTCAGCATGTAAAACTTATTCTTTGAGCTATAGCTTCTTCCTTGCCTGTTATACTTCTCAAATATCCTAAGATATGAGAAAGGAATGTCGAAGCGATCTGTTTGTACCAGGGTCTCCAAATACTTTACCTCGATATGAGTAATCTCATGGATTTTTACAATCCCTGTAGCTAAACTGGAAAGCTTTTGTTAGAAAGTTGGAGGTTCTGGAACTTTGCCCCTTTATTCCCTAATCCAGGTTTGTAGCTAGTTTTCAGCATCTCAGTCATCCAAATCACCTGTAGGTTAAGAAAACCTATAGCAAATTTAAAAAGGCATTATTTGTAACCCGAGGAAAAGCAGATGGCTGATCACTGCTCATGCACTTCCCAGTGTTTGTCACCTTGTTAAGAGAAACAACATTAGGGATAACTTGGTTTCTGATAATTTCATTTCCTAGATATTTATAGTATCGGTAAAACACTGAGCCCTCTGACGCAGCAAAGACTTGGAACATAACTAGATTGTACCTATTATATAGAAAATGTAATACCCTAAAACTCTGCAATGTAGTCAGCAGTGTGAAAATAAGAAAATATTTCTGCCCTGTTCTATGATGAGGTATATCAAAGCGATTATTTTTCACCATCTGCCTTTGTCATGCATCTGGATGCATTCAGATTCTGGCATCCATTTCCCATGTCCAGTTAAAAGCACAATGGGCTGACTGAGACAGTCTTCAGCAGAAAAGCCTAATACAAATCTGGAAAACCAGGGAAGAGAGTTTTCCCAACAACAGACAGCTATCCTGCAAGTTGCAGAATAGTTGACAGGAACAGAAGTGGTAACGAGCTCATCATTTCTGAAAATCTGCAGTTCCTGAATAAAGCTAGAAGTGCAAAAAAGCAAATGTCTCTTGGCCTGCAAAGGATTTGTACTCCTTCTTTGCAAATAGAACAGCCACATTTTTTTTAATTGGATCACATTAATTTTTAAAAATTATTTTCAGGAATTCAATGTGGCATATATAACATTTCCTCTTCCTATCTGTTCCTGCAACCACAACCCTGGACAATAGGCTGGGCCAAAAAGAGAATGAGTAATAATTTTGTTTATGACACGGAGAGCTGCATTTGATGGTTGTTGGTAGTTCATTTATTTCCCTTCCATAAATTACTCTCAGTCAACCTGGCAATTAAATGGATCACTTTTAATTGTAATTTTGAAAACAAATGTTTTCTCATATATATGTATATGAATAGATGTATTTGTATTTTTCCTATGTTTATTTTACCCTTTTTGGATCTTTCTATTTGCTATTGCTGAGTTCCATCACACAAATCATTCTGAATCTTGAAAAAATACCTTCTCTCTATGGTTTTGGTCAATTGTTCTGACATAACAGAGAATAAATTCCAATATAAAAATACCTGCAATTTTAAAACTTTAAGTAGTCAATTATATGCCAGTTTTTATTTTGCTGGAAAGACTGTTAGAAAACTGTTAATGATGGGATGTCTTTCGGTGAATTATGAAAGAAATATAAAATCTCTGCATGTAAACAAAATGTGATACATTTCTGAAAGTTTGAATTGTCCTGAAAATGCAAGATACATTGTTAGGTAAACACTGCCTCTAACACTGGCAATTTAAGATTGCCTCTAATGCTGGAAGTACCTACCAGCTTTGGGGACTGTTTCCAGGTTTTTGGTATGTGAGTTGTCTATAAACTGGACTTCTGTACTGAATTCCTGTTCTGGAAGAGCTGTGTGCTTCTCTTGCTCTTGCAAGATATGATGGAAGACTGCAGCCAAGTCTGCTTCTGCTACCATGGAGTCTTTCTGCATGGAGGCTTCCTCACCATTTGGAAAATCTTCAGTGCTCTAAGAAGAAGAATCATCTGTTGGTATTAATAAGCAGGCTACATATTCTCTCATTTGCATACTTACAATTGTTCTTTTCCAACAAGTTCTTAATCCAAGAGCATTATCATCTAGCTTTAATCAGCTGTGGCATAATAAGCCTTGTGTGCCAAAAACATGTGTACACATTTTCATGGGGCATAGACATGGTAGAACCTGGTCAAAGTCACTGAAATGGGTAAAGACTACATTAAAGCTGAAAGTTGGCTCTCAAGCCACATTTCTTAATATCGGACAAAAATTCAACCCAAGTCTACCTACATTCTGAAAATGCAGCAAAACTGAACTCATCCAAGATGCCAAACTCTGATGTAAGAAACTACAAACCCAAGCTATGTTCTCATATCATGAAAGAATCTAAAAAGCTTTTTGCCCAGATTATGAGATCAGATGGTCATTCCAGGAGGTGCTGCAAAGATATAGTTTCTGCTGAGAGACTCACACTGCTGAGTACATGGAACATTTTGATTTTTTTCTGAAAAAAGCCAAGAGCCCCAGGCATCTCATAGATTTTCAACAGCCTTAGTTTGAATACATTTCTCACATTAAAAACTCTTAGGCTACATAGTGGGTTAACAAAGTTCAATGAATAGAAAAGAAACTGAAAGAAGAAAAAAGGATGATAGACTCACACCACAATCACCAACAGATCCCTAATACCTGAAGGCCTTCTTTCCCAGGACATGGAGAAAGCTGGACAGATTGACGGCGAGATTGGGAAGAATATTCTGAGTCGGTTTCAAAATCAAAGGAATGTACAGAAAGTAGGCGCTTTTTCTTGCGCATCTTAGGAAGCACAAAAAGTAAAAGATTTAAAATTTCACTGCATCACAAGATCACAAAATATTACATTTCACATGATCTTTAAGAAAGGATAACATCCCTTCTGGTATTTACTGTATGATAGTAGCACTCATAGCTAGAAAGGCTTCTGCACATCTTGTGGATACCTCTTCTATATCCAATTGCAACCTTTCCTATATCCAGATGGCCCGCTTACAGTCACTCATGCCCCAGTCACCTCCTATTGAGTTACTTTAACAAGCTATACATGTAGCTGCCTTTGAGAAACACATGAAAGTTATATCTGGTGCAGAATGCAGTGGTCTGGATTCAAATGACCCACTACTCTGGGAGCTTCACTGAACACTTGTTGATTTGTGGTACTGGTTATCACTGTTAAGGCCCTTATGTGGGTCCAGACTGCCTTTTTCTGTATTCATCTGCCTATCTAAACAGATGAAATATGGTTACCTTCTTCAATGACGTGTCCTTACAGGATTGTCACCTGATGGGGTCTCAGAGGTAGGTATTCCCATTAAAAAACTTCATTTGCTTACTTTAGCTATCAGAGTGTCTCTCATCTAGTGGATTGTTCTGACTATCTCATCTTGCTATGATAGTTCCAGATTTCTTGGTTTTGGGCACATAAAAATCTACATTAAGTTCTCTGTGACACTAATAAATACATAGGCTATGGGGGGGAAGCAAACATATTCTATTAAATATCTTTTAAAGATAATTTATCTCTTAAAGTCCTCTCTTAAATATCTTGTACAATCCAAAAATGTTTATGTTTTCTTACCTTCTAGCCAACTTTGAAAGAACCATTTTTAAAATTAATGTTGCTGTAATGAAAAGTGACTCTAAAGGACCAGGGGATTTCAGAACAGCAGCATTAATGCAGTATTTTCCTACTCTCACCGATTTATCTGCAAATTTATCACTCATTTATTTGGGAGAGGCCACCCTATTGTGATTAGGCATAAAGATCAATAATTTAATAATGTGACCATACTTTTGCACACTTAGTCTCAGCAGTTGTGGAATGGCAAAATGTTTTAATTATTTTCTTTATATTTTAGTACTGTAGCTTTACTGTAGTGCCTTCTGTATAGACAGCCAAGATACTCCTCATTTTCATCAGGCCTCTGCAGATGGTTACACCTGGTTGATCTCATCTCAACTGGGAATATCAGGATTATAGGTTAGACTGAGAAATCAAAAAATATATTGAAAGAAGAAAGTGGAAAAGAGTCCTTCCTTGAGAATTCAGACATGAGTGAGCACATTTCTGGAAATGTATTGAATTCACTAGGACTTTTGTTTCGACTGTTCAGAACCAAAAGAAATTTGTTTCAGAAAGAGGCAGCTTTCCTCAAGATAAATTCAGAGGAGGGGCGCAGTGAGAAAATAAAGGGCAATATGATTTAATAATGAAATTCCACATTATGTAAAACATGCATGGAAAAAAGTTACATGAATTATCCTTACCCTGGCATAAGACTCAGATTCTGCTCCATCCACATCATCACTTGTTTCCCCTTCTTCACTCTGATTATTCCTGTACAGGTGATAATCATCTGGATAAGAAAGACACATGCATGTATGCAAACAAACATGTTGATTAGATACCTACCATGCAACTGAAGAGGGGCTACAGCTCAGTTACAGACCACATTTTACATTCCAGAAGATGTCAGGTTCAATTGCTGCCAACCTCATTTCACTGATTTAGAAACTGATATTGTGTATATTCATTCCCAATGGTAATTTCATTTCTCGTTTACTGTAATCTGGTCCATGAATGCCCTTCTTACAACTGCCCTGCTAGCAACAGCTAGTGAAAAATATTCTCATATAAAGACACTGTTGAAGGAACTTGTCCTTGCTGTTGGCTAGTTAGGCTGACAAATGTATGCAACTTGAAAGGCAGGGTACCTGGGATGCCATTTTCTCCCACTGTAGATTAGTCAGACTGCTGTAATAATCATGAGGCCTTCTTGGTTGTACCACTTCTTGTGAGTATTCCTTAAACTCTACCAACAAAGAGGCCCTTTCATCTCATGATGATGCTGTTGATATATGATATTCATAGCCACTGGTTATATTACAGACTGACTCTACGGACTGTAGTTAATGTTAAAATATAACGTTGCACCTTATCACCTAAAATTAATGATGTTAATTGTTGGACTTTTATCAGAAAAAAACAGGACATTCCTCAAGGTGATTGTATCTGTAATTTCCTGACCACTTATGGTGAATTAATTGCAGATCCACAACAGACCACAGGATTTCATTCAGAGGTTTGCCTCAATTTGACTAGGGCTCAATTGGAGTCAGTCTACCTACTTTGAGACATTAGCCAAATCCAAAATGAGATTCAGAAATTGGGCTGTTTTTTGTTCCCTTGGCAAGTATGGAACAATATAAACAGTTCTACATTTTATCTTATAATAGACTTGGACTTTTTTCAGACACATTAAAATGCATGAGGGAATGCAGCCTGCCAAGATTCATTGAAACATGTTTAGGAATTTTAAGCTATATTTCTGTGACTTTTGATTGTTTTAACAGAAAGTGTCTATACCTAGGTTGTTTGAGGACAGAATTTAAAAGGCATTTTCAACCATACTGTTCTCTGGAAAACCATTGTAGCCAGTTTCAGATCCATGAGTAAATTTGTGGCTAAAGTAAAGGCTCCAAGAAAGGAAACTGATTCTCAAATCATATGATGGGGAAATGAGATGAAAACTTGAATGGGGAAAAAAGGGAGAAAAATGAAGTGAATCATTTGCTGAACTAAACTGAAAGGAAAATGAAACAATTAAAAATAAAACAAGACTATTTAAAATACAAATCAGATCTCAGAACCAACAGGTAATGCTACAATAATAGCTTAAACAACATGTTTACGATGACACAATTAAGAAATTAGGAACAAAGACATGGAACAATCTCAATTAAGGAATCAGTACTTCAGATGCTATGAAAGGGATGGCCCTTTGGCTCAATTTTCAAACGGCTACCTCCCTTCCCGGCAGAAGCTATTTTCTTAAAAGAGCACTGTTTCCCTTTCGGGAGTTCCCCAAAGCTGTAAAGTCCTGTTTTGCATTAGCAAACTACTGAACAAACATCTTGGAAGTAACCAATTGCAAACCACTTCTGTATCATGCAAAAAAAAAAATATGAACAGATGTGTCCATATAAATCATCAACTCAAAGGCAATGTTACAGTTTTGTCCCACTTCTGCTCAGGACATCAACATCTGATGCACATTTGTATGGTTTTTGGATTCTTTTTGTTTTGAATGGATGAATTCTTGCCTACAGTATGGACTCAATGTCTGAAATCTGGAATATTAAAGGAAAGAGATTGGAAGTTAATGGGTCCCAAGAAACCAGCAGAAAGTCAGCGCGTTCTGACTAAGAGAATGGAATTCTGAGCTGGATCCAAAGAGCCATAACTGGAAAAAAAATAACCACAAGCAAAGTTCCATAAATGCTTGTACACAGACATATGACAATTCTTTTGTGGCTACCTAAACAAAAAAGGGTACAAATCCTTAAGGCTTTTTCAGAAGCAGACATTTTTAAGTATATAATATGAAGTACATTATATGAAGAATAAAATCCAACTCTGTAATACTAGGTCGCTTTCTAACAGGGTCATATCCCTACCATCCTATCACTCAGTTTAAACTCTGATTATCTGTAAAACAATGTGACATTTTCAGTTCTAAATCTATAAAGTTCTAAAACCATACCATAGTTCTAAAAACATAGGTATTATCAATTGGGCTGTGCAATACTTTGGATTCAAGGAAAAACATGCTTTCAAATGCACAGACCTATCTTAAATTTCTTAAATATTAAGATACATTTCCCTGGGATTGTGCAGCTTCTATGATGGAGCTGTATAAGCACTGCTACGTTCTCTGAAGCATTTTCTTCCCTTGGCAACTGAAGTACCATACACAGGACTACTATATTTACAATAGAAGTACTTCACTTCAGTAAAACAGCATAGCATAATAATGATAACTTCTTATGGTTTGCAATATTGTTGATTAGAAACTCCTGCTTATCAATCAAGTATATTTTTGATACAATTTTCAGTTGTATTATTTCTGGTGATTATTCTGTGGTCACTGTGAAAAAAGGATGGTAGAAATCATTGATTTTTTAGAACAGAATGTTCCTAGTTTTTCTAATCAAATGGACAAGTAAGAGCCAACACTGGAAGCTCATGGACACTCTCAATTGCTATATTGGAGGCAATGTGACTGTGTCACAAAGCTTTATTTTAAGCAATCAAGAAAGTCACATTATATAATAATTACTACAGTATCTCTCCATATATTATCATTACCTCTCTTGGCACGTAATACCAAATCTGGATGCTGGAAAATATGAAAGTCCCTCAAACACTTCACTGTTACAAAGAACTTATTCTTTCAAATTTTTCATATTATTATCTTTAGAAAAATGGGTCTTTTTACTTTCAAATGGATATCCCCAAGTTTAGAATGAAATACAGTAACTATCAAATTACTTATTCCAATTCACTTTTTCCAAACCATTTCTCAGTGGTGATTAACTTTCTAAAACAAAGTTGATGGGGATCAAACCAGCTGGAAAACCACATTCTTTGGCCTGAGAGTAATATAATATGTGGAAATAGACTGCAGTTATTCAGAGATAATTACAGTGATGTGCTATTTAATTCAGTATCCAGTGGTTTGTAGACTCTTCCAAGCTTTCTAAAAAAAGTTACTGAGAAGATCTCACTAAGACCATTGCTCATACCAAGTGAAGTAGATTTCATTTTCTGTCCATGCGACATCCTTCGATAGAGAGATCGAATCACTTTAGCACTTCCAAAATGCTTGAAACGAGTTCTGACATGTTCATAATACCATTCCAGGGATCCAGTTTTGACAATCCTGCCCAAGAGATGAGAGATAGTACACACATTAGTCAGGATGAATTCTTCATTCAGTTAAAATATTCCCACTGGTTTCAGTGAGGAAGACTGAAAATATTCTAGAAAATGATAATGCTTTTAAATATAACTAATAAATCTGAGCACTGTTGATACATTACTCATATTCAGGATAGTCATCTAGATAGAAAAAAACAGGGCTCTGCTGTTCTAACACCAACATAACCTGTAAGCCATCCAGAATTTTCTTATAGGAGAGATGGTGATATAAAAATTACTTACTTACTTACTTACTTACTTACTTACTTACTTACTTACTTACTTACTTACTTAAATAGCATTCACATGTTGACTGTTCTCATGTGAAGAGAAACCTCTTTAAAGAACCAGTTACTCAGTTTTCTTCACAATTTTGGCTCAATGTACATGTATCAATGTTAAGTTTTTTTTAATACAATGCATTAGTTACCTGTGTATCAATAATGCTAGCATAAGGCTTTATTTTCTCAAAATTATTCTAGGTAAAGAGAATTGCCTTTAGTTTTGAAATAGAAGGGGCGTTGTCTTACCTGAACGCCGTTTCTCAGCACGGAGATGGATAATCCACGATAGGGTTAACTTAATCCTCCTGCCCAATCAGATCAAGTCAGCCAAACTTGCCACGCCTGTCCTGGGCCTATCTTCCCCCAGTTTTTGACGAGGACGCAGCACTGGCTGACAGCATGACGTATTGGCTCACAGACTAACC